TTATTGAATGACTAAAACATATATTAGATATTTTATTAATAATAGATTTTATTTATAAAGGTTTGTAAAAATATCTAAAATCCAAAAATTAACTCAATCATTAACTTACAAAGCTGGAAAGTTGTGACTTGCAGCTGGAAATGAAAGTAAAACAAATTTTCTATTGCAATGTTTTGGTCATTATATATAAAAAAAGATAAAAAAAGATCTGTTTGTGAAAGTAAAACACGTAATATATTTAAAAATTTGTTAGTCATGCATATAATGAAAGAAATACATTTGACGCTCGTTTTAACATTAAAGCTAAAGCTGTAAAGATAAAAAAAAACTTTGCAAAACAAATCAATATTCTTATCATAAAGAAAGTTTGAAATGCTCAGATTTTTGCAAAAATGAGAAAATAAGAAAGAGAACTCAGATAAAAACTCAGAGATAAGTGACATTGAAAGCTAAAATGAAAATGATTACGATGATCTTTTTAAAGATAATTTTTAAACTCTATTCTAGACTATTCCTGTTATTTTTATCTTTTAACTTTTATTTTGAAAAAATTTTTTAAAGTTGAAAATGCAAAATTTTTGATCTTGTGTGATTTATTTTATATATATAACTAATATCAGCTATTTAAAAAAAAATGGGCGTGTAAAACGGAATAGCTTTCTCTCTTATTACAACAATATAGTTATATACTTACTTGTGTATGACCTATCATTAAATAAAGTCTGATTATAAAATAACAATTTTTTTTGTCTAAACATAAATTTTTTAACAAACAGAACATTTTTTTATTGAAACCAACTTCCTTCAAATAATTCTTTTAAAGCCTGAAAAATAGATTTTAAATAATGTAACTAAAAAATAAGATAGATACATAAGTGTATATAGTATATTTACCTCATTTTTTAGCATAACCCAATTATTGCTTACAGCTTAAATATATTACTAATTTTAAATTACTAATAAATTAAATAACTTAAAAGTATTTAATAAAAAAGATAAAGATGAAAACTACAATTTAAAAAAAAAGAAAGAAAAAAAATTCAGTTTCAAAATAAAGACTATAGGTTGAATTAAGGGTATATTGTTATGTAAGTGAAGCTGAGATTTTCCAGGTAGGGCTAATACTGTTATTTAGGAGCAACTGAGATTGCAAATTAATAAAAGATTATTAAAAAATATAGATCAATTGACTCATGTACTGCCGTTCCTCCACACTTATATAGTGCCAATAAAGCAGATAAAAAAGCTAATAACAATAGGAATTAAAGTAAGTACAATAAGGTCACTAACTTATAAATTTTCCTATTATCTATTTATTCTACTCAACTTACCTCCAATCTTAACAAAACTTCAAAATTCAAAATAATTTATTGAATGCGCTCAACCATGGTAATTGAAATTCATCAGGATCAATTGATCCTGATGAATTTTAAGTTTATTTTTTATTTTATATACTGTTAAATTTTGCCATTCAATACAAGTTAAAAACCAGATAATATTTTATTAGAACAACTCTATAATAGTCTTGTCTTTAATTCAAAGTTATTATTTTCTGAAAAAATACTTTTAGATCAAAATTTAGGTCAAAATGTTATTTTTTACATGAAAACAACATACACACATTAAAAGATGCTGTGCTAAATGATCCTATAGGTTTACCATTATTGGTAGTAATGGTGGAGAGGTTTTTGCAACATTATGCAGGCACAACTTCTTAATAATTATTAATGCAGGCACAATTTCTTACACCACCAATTTATTTAAAATCATTTAAAAAGGTATTTTGACAATATCTATAATTTTGATAATGAGGCAGAATTAAAACATTTTCTTGAGTTGTTAAACAACCAACAATTGTATAAAATTAAAAAAAAAATGACTCACACAATAAATTTACTAGATCTCTCAGTAACAAATAACAAATCCAGATTATACCTCTTTAATATCTATCATAGGTGATAGGTCATCTCATTAATGCCGGTACAATTAAAGCCTCATTAATGCCACAATCCAAAAAATAATTATGATGTATTCATTGGTTTTTTTCAAAGAGCTTTTGCAATATTCAGCAAAGATTATATAAATTAAGAACCAAAATTTCCTCAAAAATGATCATAATAAATCATTGTCAAAAAAAAGAAAAACAAGCAAAACAATCTGCAAAACTAGAACTTAATTATATTTCTCTATAATGTGTAATAAAATCAAGTATTCAATTAAAAAAAATATTTAAAAATGCAGGGTATACTTCAGTTTTCAAATCATTGACCCTTAAGTTAACAATTAAAAAAACAAACCTTAACTTCCCAACAAATCTTATCTTGGAGTCTACAAACTGGGGTTCTTGCAGCAAATTTTCAAGTTTGTAAAATAAAGTCCAAAGATTAAACATGTATTGTTTAATGTCTAACATAAAAAACATGTCCAACATAAAAAATATACTTTGATCAAAAGTGGGGAAAAAAAATTGACTGTGGCAGAGCACATAAGATTTCGCAATGGTGTGTAATTATTAAAGTGTGGAATTATTCAAAATAACACAGTTTAAAGTAATTATTTTAGAAGAAAAATAGAGAACCTTTAGAGATACAATATCACAAGTGTTCTCTGAATAACGGTGGCTTAAATGAAAAGAACAGTAAATACACCACAATGTCGTTTTGGAAACCTTATTTTTAGTGTTGTTATCTACTTTGACTAAACTGACTAAAAGTGGAATAGT